CAAATTTGTATTTGATATGGCAATCGACTACACTGCTTGTTTTTTATTGCAAACATAAATTTTCGGGACTACTAGTTGATCTGATATAAGAACTGTATTTGCCTCATTTCCACAAGGTGTTGAAGGATTGTTAGGTAAATTTTCCCACAATTATATGAATAGGCCTCTGGTTTTCATTGAATTTCACATAGCCTTGTTTACGAAAAGTCATGCTTTTTCAAGGTGTACTGTAGTTCCGACCTCTCCAAGATTATACACAGCACTATCAGGGTTAGAATCACCCTGTGGTTGCTAAGGGGACCTAGAAGAGTTAGAAACTGCGGTCCAACATGGATCATAATACACTTTGGGAAACGATACTATGTAAAATTAAATGAGAACCGTGGCCTACTCATATCAATGTGAACAAATTTAGTTACCAATCATTCATCACCTTTACTGAAATAGGATGAATACAGCTCTTATATGAGATCCACTATTAATCTAGAAGAAATACTTATATAACAACTTTAATTTAGAAATCCAGTTTTTCTACAGATTTAACTCTGTTTTGTATTAAACCACTCACTTGGACACCATCAAAATGTCTAGTGTTAAAAGTGAAGAAGTAGTATCTGACGCCTGAAGTATAAGCTCATCACACTTGGATCGCAACACGTATTTTGTTTGTAGTACGGCAGTATTCAACGCAGCCTAAAGGTTTAATCTTTTGCCTAATTAGGTGGAATTTCGACCTATTCCAGTCTTCGTCATCCCCTGTTCTGGGTTGAGTAGAAAATAGGCAAGACCTTGTTTATTGATACTTCATCAGTGATGATGTCGAAGATATCGACAATACTGTGTTCATCGGAAGATTTACGCATTCCATCGCAATGACTCCGTATGAATGAAGATTTTCACATAGACCCGTCTCTGTACCTGTGCACACCAGCGCCTTTGTGCTGGCACGAATTACCTGCTTGTGCCTGCGATGGTGTATGCATGGGCTTGTGAAGCAAGAGAGGAAGAGGAGGAGGAGAGAATGGAGGGGGAATGAATGAAAGAGAATTGGAATAATGGATAGGACCTCGTGAATGGCGTCTCCGTCACGTCTTTAACGGACATACGACCTCTGAAGAGTCTGTCCGGGTCAAAGAGGCGCTTGAGCTTCAAAGGAGCGTGTCGTCTGGATTTATAGTTGAGTATGGGAAGACTGGAGCCTGTAATGCCTTGGTTTCGCAGGGAGTAGACGTATGCATGTTTATTTAGGAAGGGGTGGTCTCGGTGGCAGCGCAAGACGTGCAAGAGATTAGACCTTTTTTGTGAAACACGGCAAGCTAGGCAGGAACGACTGAGTTCGAGGCCTCAGTATATGAAGGCGGAAAGGCCTCAGTCTCCATTTATATTATCTTCGGCCTACCCTCTTTTCCCACGACCTATTTCTCCTTCCCACCGGGCTTTTTCGCCTCAGGCACGCTCTTACCCAGTTCCGATTACTTTCCTCAAAGGCCCCTGTGGCTTGCCTAATAGAGATCTAGCAAGCTTTTCAACTCGAAACACCACTTTTTATTTCGGCAAGACCGGGATACCCACCCACCCACACACACACACACAAACACACACACACACACATACATACACACAACTGCGACTCACGCACGCCATAAGCAGATTTAATCCCATTTCTCCCTGCTTTTCCCATCCCGCTTATTCGCCAATAAAGTGGGAGGAGCGACGGCCCAGTCGACACGCAGAGCCAATCGAATGGACGATGCTTTCGAAAGCGCCGGACTCACACGAAGACCCCTTCATCTTGCCTCGGGGTTGAGGTGGTCTCGTCGCGGCAAGCGCTACAGTTCGTCTTCACAATTTTCATCAGAAGCAAACTTCCCCCTCTCGTTCGACGCTGGCCGGTTCAGGATGGTCCGAAGTCATAACTAGCCAACCGATAAATCGGCTTACTCCGAAACCCGATTATAATCCCCTTCTCACCGCATCCTGGAATCGGACTCGGCTGGTATCGCTACAGCCGGAGAGATGGCTTTTTGGGCGGTTCACCTCTTATCACCAGCCTAGGCATCGTAGACGCTTGCTCGAATTTGTGTGTTTGCATGTGCGTGTGTTTGTGGGCAACATTCACCCCCAGGGAGAGTGGAGTGTCTCTTTGATTGCTCCACCAGTTTATTCGGAAGGACATTCAAGTGGATTACCACCGAGACGAAACTCAGGCCCGCTCCGGGGGTTGGAGTTGAAAAAAAGGCAATTGAATAAGCTTGTCATGAACTGGTTGAAGTTGAACAAAGCAAAAGTTCATGAAGCCTTTCAATGAAGCGTCGGCCCTGTTAGTTCGAGGCTAAACTTTGTTTCGAAGGCAAGCCGCACTTGTCTGCCCCATTCCCTATCCACTCTCAATGGCCATAAGATGTGCTTTCATGCGAACATTTTCGTGAAACATCCACCATGATGAAATGGCATTTTTATCATGCTATTTGCCAGTGTCGGTGTGTGAGTCTCTGAGTTTGTGTGTCACTGCCACTGTACCTGAGGTCAGGGTATTCATGCTACTGAGACACATCTTTGGCCGACTGTTTCTATACCCTACAAATAGCATCTGGAAACTGTGGTGAGAATGAATATATCTCATTAAATTAACTTGTAGCGACACACTCTTAGGCGACATTGGAGGACACGAGAGCCCAGAATTGTGCGAACAAGTAGATGGGTCATATGAAGCGACCATACAAAGTGTCACACCAGCTTGGTCTTCATATCTTCCGTATGAACTGGAGTTGAGAGAAAGAAATGCGGCACTATAAGGTAGTATATACGAAGAAAAGTTGGGTTTCGAGGAATCTCTTGTTTCATAATTGTTGAGCTCACTTCCATTTCGAATAGAAGTGTTGTGTGAAGAGATTCGAAGGTCGGTTCCACCAGAAGACGACGGCGGATTCCTCTTGACCAG